ATACATAGCTAATTTTTTAAGATTTCAAACACCAATTCTTAAATTTTTATCTTACTTTTAATTTCTTTCAGAAAAGCATGAAGAAAGCAAATATATTAACTACTGAGTTGTGTTCAGCTAACAATTTTTTTCAGTTTATAGTCTAATAAGTTTTCTTATGTCTAATTAATATGCTTGAAGATGTATAGTCTCAAACTATTGGAGTAAGATTAGCTCATTTCTCCATGACATTTTCTAAAAGTTCTTGTTTTAAAATTTTGATTAGTGTACAAAATAATTCATTTCATTTTATTATATATTTCATTTTATATATATTACTATCATGTACATTGCTTTCCATTAACCTCTCTTGGCTTCTTCCTCCTCCTACTGGCTTCCTTTCCTTCCCTCCTGTCTTCATATATTGTTTTATATGGTTAAAGCCAGATTAAATATATACAATATTTACTTTTTAAATTATTCTTTTTAGTTCCCTTTCTCCCCATAAGTAGTTCTTTTCTACCTTTCATGTAATATGTCTATGTGTGTATTTGTGTATATATATTTCACACATATATCTACAGTCCACATAGGGCAAAAAATATGTCATATTCATCTTAATTTGGTTTATTTCATTTAACAAACTATTAATTAATTTTTCATTTTATTTTATGCATATGCACATTTGGCCTGGATTATGTCCATGCATCAAATATACTCAGTGCCTGAAGAGGCCAGAATGAAACATCAGATCCCCTGGAACTGATGTTACAAATGATTTTGAGCTTCCATCTGGATGCTGGGAATTGAACCCAGATTCCCTGGAAGAGCAGAGAGTGCTGTTATCCTCAACCATCTCTCTAGCCTCTTAATTCAACTTTTTACTTCGCATGCACACACACACACACGCATACACACACGCACACACACACACAAGCGCACACACACATATGCTAGAGGGATATGGAATTCTTTTAGTATTAGGTCATCTTAGAATTTTTATGATAATCCCTTTCTTAATTTCTTATACTATACTGACTTGATATTATTTTTGTTGCTACTACTAAATGCATGGCTCCTTTTTTTAGACTAGCGCTTGATAATTTTTTCTGTCTTTTGACATCTCATCACTCTACGTCTTTGTATTTTAAAGTCCTGCCTATTCAGGAACTTTTCCCCTGTGCCCATGTGTTCCAGGCTCTTCCCCACCTTCTCTTCTGTTAGTCTCAGTGCATCTGGTTTTATGTGAAGGTCCTTTATCCACTTGGACTTGAGTTTTGTATAAGGAGATAAGAATGAATCGATCTGCATTTTCCTACATGTTGACCTCCAGTTGAACAAGCACCACCTATTGAATTGCTGTCTTTTTTCACTGTATGGTTTTAGCTCCTTTGTCAAAGATCAAGTGACCATAGGTATGTGGGTTCATTTCTGGGTCTTCTATTCTATTCCATTGATCTTCTTGCCTGTCTCTGTTCCAATACCATGCAGTTTTTATCACTATTTCTCTGTAGTACAGCTTGAGGTCAGGAATGGTGATTTCCCTACATGTTCTTTTATTGTTGAGAATAGTTTTCTCTATCCTGGGATTTCTGTTATTCCAAATGAATTTGAGAATTCTCTTTCTATCTCTGTGAAGAATTGATTTGGAATTTTGATGGGGATTGCATTAAATCTGTAGCTTGCTCTTGGCAAGATGGCCATTTTTACAATATTAATCCTGCCGATCCATGAGCATGGAAGATCTTTCCATCTTCTGAGATCTTCTTTGATTTCTTTCTTCAGGGACTTGAAGTTTTTGTCATACAGATCTGTCGCTTACTTAGTTAGATTCACACTGAGATATTTTAAATCATTTGTGACTATTGCGAAGGGTGTTCTTTCCCTAATTTCTTTTTCAGCCTGCTTATCCTTTAAGTAGAGGAAGGCTACTGATTTGTTTGAGTTAATTTTATATCCAACCACTTTGCTGAAGTTGTTTATCAGGGTTAGGAGTTCTCTGGTGGAAGTTTTGGGGTCACTTAAGTATAGTATCACATCATCTGCAAATAGTGATATTTTGACTTCTTCCTTTACAATTTGAATCCCTTTGATCTCCCTTTGTTGTCTAATTGCTCTGGCTAGGACTTCCAGTACTATATTGAATACATAGGGGGAGAGTGGGCAGCTTTGTCTAGTCCCTGATTTTAGTAAGATTACTTCAAGTTTCTTTCCATTTAGTTTGATGTTGGCTACTGGTTTGCTATATATTGCTTTTACTATGTTTAGGTACAGTCCTTGGATTCCTCTTCTTTCCAAGACTTTTACCATGAAGGTGTGTTGAATTTTTTCAAATGCTTTCTCATCATCTAGTGAGATGATCATGGGTTTTTTTTCCTTTGAGTTTGTTTATATAGTGGATTACATTTCCATATATTGAACCATCCCTGCTTTCCTCGGATAAAGACTACTTGATCATGTTGGATGATTGTTTTGATGTGTTCTTGGATTCGGTTTGCGAGAATTTTATTGAGTATTTTTGCATCACTATTCATAAGGGAGATTGGTTGAAGTTCTCTTTCTTTGTTGGGTATTTCTGTGGTTTGGGTATGAGCGTAATTGTGGCTTCATAAAACTAATTGGGTAGTGTTCCTTCTGTTTCTATTTTATGGAATAGTTTATAGACAATTGGTATTCGGTTTTCTTAGAAGGTGTGATAGAATTCTGCACTAAAACCATCTGGTCCTGAGCTTTTTTTGGTAGGGAGAATTTTAATGACTGCTGCTATTTCTTTAGGTGTTACAGGACTATTTAGATGGTTTATCTGATCCTGATTTAACTTTGATGTAAGGTATCTGTCTAGGAAATTGTCTATTTCATCCAGGTTTTCTGGTTTTGTTGAGTATAGGCGTTGATATTTGATATTTGAATCTGATATTTTTTTTGAATTTTCTCAGTTTCTGTTATGTCTCCCTTTCCAGTTCTGATTTTATTAATTTGGATACTTCCTATAATTTATTATTTTTAATCCATCATGATATTTTTAAAATTATATTTTAGTTTCCTTTTATGGTATGAACGTTTTGCCTTGCATATATGAACATCTGTTTGCCCTGTGGGTGCCTGGTGCCTGATACCTATCGAGGTCAGAAGAGGTTATCAGATCCTCTGGAATAGGAGTTATAGGTGGCTATGAGGCACTCTGTGGGAGCTGGGAATCAAACCCAGGTCCTCTGCAAGAACAGTAAGTGCTCTTAACCACTGAGCTATCACTCCACCCCCATTTGTTGACCTTACCTTTTTCATTCATTATATGTGTGTGCACAAATAATTTTGAAATGTTTCTTATGTTGACCTTTATTTTATGTTCATTATTTGTGTGTGCACTACAGTACACATGTAGAGGTCAGACGTCAGTGTTTGGTAGTCAGTTCTTCCTTTGAGCCAAGGTCTTTGTAGAGGTGAGGTCATTCTTACTGTTTGTGTTGTACTGTGTATTCCAAAATAGCTGGTCCAAGAACTTCTCTGCAATTCTCTAGTCTTCTCTTTCCCACCTTTCAGTGAGAGTTCTGGGATTATAGATGCCTGCCACCACATGTAGCTTTTTTTAGGTAGGCTCTGGAACTCATTTATGTATGTATATATGTATGTATGTATGTATGTATGTATGTATGTATGTATGTCAGCTTGTTACAAGCTAGACATCTGAGAAGAAAAAAGCATCTGTAGGCAAGTCTCTGAGGCATTTTATTGATTGATTGATATGGGAGGTCCCAGCCCACTGTTTGCATAGGCACCCCTGGGCAGGTGGTCCTACTTGTTACAAGAAAGCAAGCTGAGCAAGCCATGGGGAGCAAGCTAGTAAACAGTGGTCCTCCATGGTCTCTGCTTCAGTTTTGCCTTGCTATAGTTTCTCTCAATAAGGGCTATTTGTAGTTTCTGGGAGCATTCCAGTAATGTTTCACTCAGTCACATTGTCTCTGCAGTCTCTTATTTGCTTCACTTAATTCAGTTGTTTCTACTTCTTGGTGAATGTGACACTTAAAAATCTGTACTGCTCCTAGGTAAATGGATGGAACTAGAAATTATCATCCTGAGTGAGGTAAGCCAATCACAAAAGAAGACACATGGTATTCACTCACTGATTATTGGATATTAGCCTAGAACCTTGAAATGCCCAAGATGCAACTCACAGGCCACATGAAGCCCATAAAGAAGGAAGACCAAGTGAGGGTGATTCGGTCCTTCTTAGAAGGAGCAACAAAATACTCAAGGGAGCAAATATGGAGACAAAGTGAGGGACAGAAACTGAAGGAGGGGC